CCACTCACCTCAGCCTCCCAAAGGCATGGGATTACAGGCTGAGCCACCGAGCCTGGCTACGCACCAAGTCTTATAGTTAACTTGTGGCAGAGCCAGGGCTATGCCTTCTGATCCCAGTGCCCACGCTCATGCCTGTAACCACTTGTCCCAGGAAGACTCTTTTTTTTTTGAGTTGGAGTCTCACTCTGTCACCCAGGCTGAAGTGCAGTGGCATGCTCCTGGCCACCACAGCCTCGAGCCTTCCAAGTAGCTGGAACTACAGGCACGCGCTACCATGCCTGGCTAATTTTTTTTTTTTTGTAGAGATGAGGTCTCGCCAAGTTACCCAGATGGGTCCTGCCTCGGCCTCTCAAAGTGCTGGGATTACAGGCTGAGCCACTGAGCCTAGCCTTTTGATTTATTTATTGTTTTGAGTCAGAGTCTCACTCTGTTGCCCAGGCTAGAGTACAGTGGCACGCCCACGGGCACCACAGCTTCGACCTGCTGGGCTCAGGCGATCCTCCCACCTCAGTCTTCCAAGCCAGTCACCATGCCTGACTTATTTTGGATTTATTGTAGAGACGAGGTCGCACCAAGTTGCCCAGGCTGGTCTCGAACCCCTGGGCTCAGGCAAACCTCTCGCCTCGGCCTCCCAAAGTGCTGAAATTATAGTCCTGAGTCACCTAGCCAGGCCTATCCCAGGCACGCTTTGAGGAGGTCCTCTGCCTCCCTTCTCCCTCCCTGCGTGAGCACCTCACCTCTGGCTGCCTTACCCTTTGTTTTGTGTTCCAGGTGTGGAGCTCATGTGAGGGCAGGGCTGGATGCATTCACTTCTGCATCTTTGCAGCCTGGAATCCCTGAAAGGAATTGTTACCCTGGAGGGTGGGTGCCACTGTGGAGGGTCGGGCATGGCCACAAGCCTCCTCCCTGGCAGGCCCGGTCCCTGCAGGGTGAATGCATCCAGGTTGTCTCCCGGGTGAGGACAGCCCCCCCCATCAGCCTCCCCTTCCTCCATGCCTCCCTCTCCCCTGAGTGCGGCAATACACTGGAACCAGGTCATACTGCTCTAACCTGGAGCTGAAGGTGAAACTCCCAGGATATTGGCAAGCTCGTTGTGAAATTCTCCCGTCCCGTCGTCAAAAATTAAATCACTTAAACTTACAATTTAACAAATATATTAAAAATAAAGACAGTACATACTTTGAACTCATCATTCCATAATTATGTTAGTACATTTTTCTGTAATCTGTGCTCTTGTATTCATAAAGTGGAATTAGCAGCCAGGCGCAGTGGCTTATGCCTGAAATCCCAGCACTTGGTGAGGCTGAGGGGGAAGGATTACTTGAGCCCAGGAGTTCGAGACCAGCCTGGGCAACATAGTGAGACCTTGCTTCTACAAAAAAAAAAAAATTAACCGAGCATTTGGTGTGCGCCTGTGGTCTCAGCTACTTGGGAGGCTGAGGAAGAAGGATCGCTGAGCCCAGGAGGTTGAGGATGCTGTGAGCCATGATTGTGCCACTGCACTCCAGCCTGGGCAACACAGTGAGACCTGGAATCAAAAAAAAAAAAGATGAAAATACTGTACAAGTCCAAGTCCAAAGACATTGCACTGGTGGTTTCCAGGCAGCCCTGATGGAACTATTTACACTGCAGAAATTGGCAAGTGCTACAGATCAGGGCTCTCCATCCCACCCGAAGATCCCATTTCATACCATGTGTAAGCCTGATGGCCAGCTTGAGAGCCACAGGAGCACGGGCTGTGGCTTTGGCTCACGTGGATTTGAGTCCAGGTTCTGCCCCACTCCCTGAAAGACCCAGGCTGTCTGCCTTTGTCTGCCCGGCGCCAAGTCCATGCTCTCATTAAATCTGCCAGCAGCCTGTGAGTTGGGCACAATCACGTCCTTCGTTAAGATGGGAAAGGGGTGGCCTTGGGGGATCAAAGGCAACACATCAGATGGGCACCCCGTTCTTACCTGTTGTGGCACAAGTCTCCAGTTCACGGGGCGGCTGAGGGGATTATTCGAGGGAATGTGTGGAAAGGGGCTTAGCAGAGACTTGGCTCTGGCAGAACCAACGTAGCAAATAAACCTTCATTTACCAAGAGGCGTGAGAACGGTGTCCGGATCCGCCTGCGTCTGAATCGTCCCTGGGCCAGTATCCGATAGCGTGGTCTCTGGCCAGGCAAGCCACTCTGCTTGTCTAAGCCTCATGTCTCCCAAGTGAAAACAGGGATAATCATAACTACCTGGAAGCGATGCTCAGAGGACAGAGATAAAGGATGTGAAGTGTCTGGTGAGAAGTGGATACTCAGTAAATGGGTATGACTGCTTGGTATTATTTTTTATTTCGTGTCACTCAGATGGCAACTCTTCCCGGCCCCGGGGGCAGGCGTCGGGGCCCGACCCATGGAGCCAGGCTGGGCCTTGCTGGGCAGCTCCTGGCCCTCACCTCTTGGCCAGGTCAGCCCCTTCGTGGGCCCCGCCCTAGAAGGGCTCGAAGCATGGGGACGTGGTTGCCAGGCGCCGGCTGCTAGGCTACGTACTGTTTCTCTTGGCTTGGCCACCTTGGGGAGGGCCTGGCTTCTCCGGGGCAGCTCCTACGTCCCGCAGCCTCTCCCTAACCTCAGAGCCTCTGCAGAGGGCAGGTGAGGGTGGGCCCCTGCGGCTGAGCCCCTGAGACCAGGGCCAGCGGGAGGCAGGCAAGGCAAGCGACAAAAAGTCTGGTCTGGGAGGGAGCTTTCCAGCCTGACTTCTCAGGTGGCCAGGAGTCGGACCGGGTAGGAGGCTCCTGGTTCATTCCTTCCCCCAGTGTAGGGCTAGGAGTGGTTCAGACCCTCCGGGGAGTCAGATGCCCCAGGATGGAATCCAGGCTCTCCCACCTCTTATGAGCAAATCCTTCACCATGGGAACCTCACTTTTCCTGCTGTAAAATGGGCATACAAGGAGTTAGGAATAAGGTGCTGGAAAATGACCCAGGTTGCCCTGAGAAAAGGGTCAATGGTCAGCTCTTCCCTCAGTGTGGGGGTGTGACGGGGGACAGAGGCCGGGCAGAAGGGGAGAGCTGTGTGTGGGGCTGACCCCTCGGTGTGTCCCGAGCCTGGGCTTGGGCTTGAAGGGGTTCCTTGGGCTTTCTTCCCAGGCCCCCCCCCGGGGGCCCGCCCCAAGCGCCATGATGGGGAAACTCCCCCTGGGGGTCGTCTCCCCTTATGTGAAGATGAGTTCCGGGGGCTGCACAGACCCCCTGAAATTCTACGCCACCAGCTACAGCACAGCCTATGGTGAGGCCACCGTACAGGGGCCACCCCTGGATGCCGGGCAGGAAGGGAGAGGCCCTCTCTCTGAGGGTGGGTCACACTCAGCGACCCCCTATCACATGGCTCCATCTGTCCCCTGAGCCCTGTCCAGCTGCCCCTTCCCTGGTTCTGTCCCTCAGTTCTGTCACTGTGATTCGGCCACACAGACCTGGAGCCCATCTGCTCCATGTCCTGCTGGCCCAGCTCCTGTCACAGTGCTCCCGTCCAGGGCTCTGGGCTCTCTCCTGTCACAGCGACCCTGGGCCCTTGGGGGAGGCAGGGAGGCTTGGGAAGCCCAGTTCGCTCCTCCCTGACTCTGCTGGCTTTCGGGCCTGTCACCATGTGTGCCCTCTGGCAGGCCGGGAGGAGTTCAAGCCCCGCATGGGCAGTCACGTGGGCACCGGCTACAAATCGAATTACCGGCCGGTGGTCTCATACCAAGCCAATCTGGATGCCCTGGACGGCCCGGCTGTGGGGTACGGTCTCTGGGGCCCCCTTCCCAGCGCCTGCCCTGCTGGGCCTCAGGGACCAATCCAGGCCTGGGTGACTCAGGACACGACACCCAGCCTGGGGCCCAAGGCTGACAGACCCCGAGTCATCTATCTGTGGGAGGGAGGAGGGCGGTGAGGACTCCTGGGCATTAGTGACAAGCCCCCAAAGGACAGAGGCAGGTGGCCCCAGGGGTCCCAGTTCCATCCTCAGGGAACAAGTCTGGGACAGTTTCCAGACAGTGAACAGTCAGAGCTACCGTCCCCTGGAGGTGCCCGATGGCAGAAGCCCCCTGCCCTGCAACATGCACCAGGCCAGCTCAGGCTTTGCGCAGAAGGCCAGTGTGGGCCCCCTCACCAAGGAGGTCAGTGCGGCTGGGGCCAAGAGGGATGGGGGCACAGGGCGGGGCAGAGGAAGGGCTGGGGGCTGGGTAGGGTGGTC